ACGTGTGCTCTTCCGATCTACCTAGCGCGCTTACATTTTATGTCTATAATTTCAATTCTGTAAAAGCGTTTTCAAATCCGTTCAGTCGTTTCGGAGTTATCCCTTAGAATGCAAATGTCGATATTCCAGCATCGCCTTAAGGAAAATAATAATGTGCAGTTAATTTAAAGTATTAAATAAGCGTACTTTTATAAGATTTTATAATTATTTTAAAGTGCAAGCTTTCTATTTTTAAAATAATACCGTAAAAACTAATTTTATTTTTTTTAAATTAAATAATTAAACAAAATATAAACATGCATATGACCCCTTTTCTGAACCATGTTTCAAAAACTGAACATAGCTGTACATACCAATTTCGGAATGTGTACAAGTGATAGCTACTTGCGATCAATCACAAGCGTTTGCTTTACATGCGACCGATAGCTGCCGTGTGCACATCGACATCGCGATACAAGCGTTGGCTAAAGGTGACCAATCAGTGACGTCCATCGTTGAGGCGATATCAAGAGCTACGTACGTTTGCGGATCGTGAAGAGATTCCTCCGCTTGTACGACAAGAACGAAAGCTATCCGCGACCAATCCGCGGCGTTTGCACATCAACTCCGGCGTGTTCAGTTACCGGACGCATACCAATTGTATGTATCTATTATTGAACACCCTAATATTTAATAAAAAATAAACTTTTTGTGGCAATTTCTTTTAATGGATTTCATTTATTAGATATTTCTGATGTGTAAAATGTAGTTTATATCTTAATTATACAATAAATTAAACGTAAATTTGCTTAAGATATGTACGATATTTCTAAGCAAAATGGTTAGGAATCCAATCAGAAATATCAATGGAAAACTATTTATGTAAAATACAAATGATATTTCACATTTGAAATGTTCTTCACATCAAAATATAGACACCTTAAATTATTAATATAGATGTATTATGTAAATTTTGAATTAGAAGCTTAATATTAATAAAAATGTATGTCTTTGTTCAGAAATTGATCTCGTCAGCAAACGGTATATTTACCTTACGTATGCGTTCGATACGTATTCGGTATATTCGTTTTTGTGAGACACACTGTTCGAATTGAATATACCGACGATGAGTTTTTGTTCTTATTAATTAACGACCGATTCGATGCGATGTAATTCAATTCCTTAATGTGTATAATATTTAAAAGTTGAGTTAATGTTAAAATCGAGATTCACAAATAAAGTTCAATTCTACGAATTAAGTCTCAATTGCCTACGTGACTTAACAGATACATATATATAATATAATATATAATACACAGGGTGGACCATTTTAATCCATCCAGTCGAATATCTCGAAAATCAAGCCCGGGAGAGAAAAATTTTTCAGACAAAAGTTGTTTGGTTTCGAGGGGGACATAAGATGATAACATTGGTTTGACCGCTAGTGGTGTCGTCAGGACAAGGTCACTTTGAATTTTT